CAGGCGGGTCTTGAATATCTCCAGAGAAGGAGACTCCACAACCCCTATGGGCAGCCTGGGCCAGGGTTCCGTCACCCTCAGAGGGAAGAAGTTCTTCCTCATGTTCAGACGGAACTTCCTGTGCTTCAGTTTGTGCCCGTTGCCCCTTGTCCTGTTGCTGGGCACCACTGAAAAGAGTCTGGCCCCATCCTCCTGACACCCACCCTTCAGATATTTATAAACATTTATTAGGTCCCCTCACAGCCTTCTCTGCTTCAGGCTGAACAAGCCCAGCTCCCTCAGCCTTTCCTCATAGGAGAGATGCTCCAGTCCCCTCATCATCCTCATAGCCTGCAACTTCGTCAACATTTTCATTCAAAATTGATTCGTCCTGATCCAGCAAGCATCCCAGCAGCTTCTGGGGACATTCTTTAGAAAGTCTGCCAGCAACGGCTGGAAAAGTAGGGCTGCTTCCACAGGCTTCTCACCTGGTAGCTCCTTGCTGTCATTTTCTCCCTTAACACATCTTCCATTTCCTTCACTTGGACGGGCTGTCCTTCGCGGATGTGTTTTTAACTAAATTCCCTACCTGAGTAAAAGCAAAATGCTAGCATTCTGTGGAAATTTGCACAGAGAAGACAGAAGCTAACACTAAAAGATGGTACAAGCTAGAGAATTCATCCAAATATAGACACTTGGAGGATCCGTTCATGTTTATTGCCTATTTTTATTTAAATCAAGCATTGCATAGTGAGTAGCTGTTGATGCAAAGGGTGTTGAGCCATTGCCCACATACTTCAGGGACAGAACGAGACAGGACTTTCCTCCTCTTTGCTACAAGAAACAGATGAGGACGCCCGGGAGCTGTGTTGGCTTTTCTACAGCTGCAAGCTTGCTTCTAGGAGAAAAAATGGAAGCAAGCTGCTCTCCCACCTGCCAAGTGCTTTCGTAGAGGGGTTTTTGGGTCACCTGTGCATCAGGCTTACCTCCAAAAAGACTGAAATGAAATCCTGCAGTCCAAGAGGTAAAGGCCAGTTCTTTGTGACCGCAGTCCCACCTCCTGATGTTCTCAGCAGCAGGAGCAAGCATGTATAGAGCTATACTTGAAATCTTGTCAACACTTCTTTCACTTCCAGTAATTGCTAGTGATGAAAGGCTGGGGCTGTGATACCAGTTCTCAGAACAGAGAAACCAAAAGCATTTCACTTCTGGAATTGATACTGGGTCCTCTGAAAAGCTGTCTTAATTACGTTCAGCAGTCTATATGCATCAGCTGGGTTTCAGATCTGCTTTCTCAAACTCAACCTGCCTTAAGCTCCTGAAACAAGGATTTAAAACAAAAACCTGCAAGTAAATGCAGGAGAGAAAAAGAAAAAAGCTTGCTTGCTTTCTTAATTAGTGCATTTAAATATAACTGGGCCTTTCGGATTACTGGGTCTCAGAACCCCTCATGGGGTGAGGGCCTTGTGTCAGGGGGTGATGTCCAGCTTGCGGGGTGGCATAAGAGAGTGTTCCCAATCATGCAGTCACCCGCGGGACTTGTC